AGCAAGGGAACGGATGCTAGTACTATTGTCATTAAATGTAGTAAGGGGTATACATCTACCCTTGTTTATTCTTGGCCTCTTTTTTCTTCATACTCCAATTCCATCATTGTGTTAATAGTTTAGTGTGGGAACTCACCATTTAACACTGAAGTTAGTGGATAGTGTGGTTGCCCCCAAATCACAGTGAAGGTCAACTGCCCATCATTCAACTAGAAAGCTCTAATCTGTACACTTTCCCATCAAAGCAGTAGATTACAGCTCTGTCATCAGTTTTAAGAGAGATTTGTTCTATTTCTACTATGGTGGGAGTGTTATTATTTTACCTTACCCTACCATTCTAGACAACATGGACCATAGAATTAATGCTGTGTTGTCACTGTAGATCTGTACTGCTGTGTCACCATATTGGCATGGTCCCCTCTCACAGCTGGCAACAGGATACCACTTTCAGGCCAACCTTTGTAATGAGTCTCTATTAACAGGCAAAATACTGTATATAAAAGTTTCTGTCACAAACAAGACCAACTTGCTAACAAACCTAGGACTTCATTTCTTCTTCTCTCATGCATATGCTTCCTGCACACATACTTACTACATACCTTTTGAAATCAAGCACTTTGCAGTGTTGCTGTGTATTTGAGAAAGGTCACAAATGAATTGAAAATACAAAATGCTACCAAGAGTACCATCAATCCTTTTTTAAGCAGAGTTATGCAAGATATCAGTGGAAGCTTTAAGATATTACGTATGCTGTCACAACAGCTTTCTACTTTAAGTGAAGCATAGACCATCTTGCATAATGAAATAGTGGTTACAGCACAGACAGTAGTTATTTTTAACATGCTGTGGATAAACTTAAATTAATGTATTTGGTGTTTTGGGTAAGTGGTATGGCGATTTTGGATTCAGGTGAAAGCTTTCTATTTATTTACTGGTTTTACATTTGCTAACTTTAATATAAAAGTTAATGTTTCCATATCAGGTCATTGTCATTACCTTAGGGAAATGATGCGCTTTATCATGTTGTACATAATTATTCATTATGTACATCAAAATATAAGTAGGATGCTACAGATTTCTGATTCACACATTAGTAACCATTAAATGGAATCTCCTTATTTATCAATAAATTGTATACTGTTTCAATACATGGCATGCTAAACACTAGAAAGCCACTAAAGCCCCAAATTTAGTTCTTCAGCAAGCTTGACCAGTTACTGAATGGTTCTACATTATCCATATGGCCTGGTCTCATTGTCAGAATACAGTATTGGAGAGCAGGTTCTGTTTTTCTGGGAACACTTGGCAACCGTTGACTCCTGTGGTGTTTGAATCAGCTAGTCTTGCCCTGTCAGAAGCTAATTTCAGCAGACAAGTGTTTTGGATGTGTGTAATGGGGATGCATGCCCAACTGTCATGCCTTGTTTTAGGCCTTTTGGTCCTTCCCCAATAGTGTTTAATTTGGGACTTGCTCCTAGTGCTTTTTGCTGCCCACAGTGACTCTTAGGACAAGAGATGGAGGCTTCTGAGTGGGAGCAATATCAGAGATGCATTTTTAATGCAATGATGAAACTTCTGTCTACTCCTGTGATCTCTGTAGGCTTCCAAACATCCCCGTCTGTTTTGAAGCGTTCTTACAGATTTCAACCAGTTACATGCAAACGAACGTGCTTCTAGTCCAATTTTATATATTTTATTTTTTACAGTTGTGTTCAAAATTATTCAACCCCCACTGAAATTGAATGTTTTGGCCATTTTGACATTGATTTTGATCATTCAGTCATCTTGCTTACATTTACATGAAAGAGGCACTTGTAGGTCAGAGAAATATAACCTTAAGTTTATAATGAAATAACCACAAATGTCTTTTCTGTGCTCACATCATTATTAGTTTTTATTCAACCCCCAAGTGACATTCAATCTTAGTACTTAGTACAACATCCTTTTACAGTTATAACAGCTTTTAAACATGAAGCATAGCTTGACACAAGTATCTTGCAGCGATCTACGGGTATCTTCGCCCATTCTTCATGGGCAAAAGCCTCCAGTTCAGTCAAATTCTTAGGCTTGCGCACTGCAACTGCTTTCTTTAAGTCCCACCAGAGGTTCTCAATCGGATTTAAGTCTGGTGACTGCGATGGCCACTCCAAAATGTTCCAGCCTTTCCTCTGCAACCATGCTCTAGTGGACTTCGAGGTATGCTTGGGATCATTGTCATCACATTTTCATCCAATATCTCCTGGTACTGAAGAGAATTCATGGTACCTTGTACACGCTGAAGCTTCCCTGTACCTGCAGAAGCAAAACAGCCCCAAAGCATTATTGACCCTCCGCCATGCTTCACAGTAGGCAAGGTGTTCTTTTCGTCATATGCCTTGTTCTTCCTCCTCCAAACATAGCGTTGATCCATGGGCCCAAACAGTTCTAATTTTGTTTCATCAGTCCACAGAACACTATCCCACAACTTTTGTGGTTTGCCCACATGACTTTTGGCATACTGCAGTCGACTCTTCTTATTCTTGGGAGACAGCAAGGGGGTGCGCCTGGGGGTTCTGGCATGGAGACCTTCATTACGCAGTGTGCGCCTTATTGTCTGAGCTGAAACTTCTATACCCACATCTGACAAATCTTTTTTCAGTTCCTCAGCAGTCACACGGGGACTTTTCACCACTCTACGCTTTAGGTAGCGCACAGCAGTCGAAGTCAGCATCTTCTTTCTTCCACGACCAGGTAGCATTTCAACAGTGCCCTTTGCCTTGAATTTGCGAATGATGCTTCCTGTGGTGTCTCTTGGTATGTTTAACTTCTTTGCAATCTTCTTATAGCCATTGCCCTTCCTGTGAAGACAAATCACCTCTTCTCTTGTCTTCCTGGACCATTCTCTTGACTTCACCATGTTTGTAACCACACCAGTAAATGTCTAGAAGGAGCTGAGTATCACAGTCATTTTAAAGCTGCCTAATTGGTGCTTATTATGCTTGATTGGTGCTCGGTGACATCCACAGGTGTTTTCAATACCTGATCGAAAACACCTGAATGAACCTCTCTTCTTCAGAGTGGTAGTCTTTAAGGGGTTGAATAATTGTGGCAATGAAGAAACCACAAAAGAAACATTTACTACTGTATTACATAAACAATTGATCTTATTTTAGTTGCATTTGGTTCTTTAAAACGTCCTTGTAGGATTTCATTCTGAATACAATTCCAAATGTACACTATAGTCCCTAAACCCCTTTACAGCATTGGGGGTTGAATAATTTTGAACACAACTTGTATTTCATATCTGGCCTTATTTTTGAACTATTAGCCTTAACCCCAAGCTACCATCTTTATTTGACAAAAAAAAGTAATCAAGAACCGGAAAGCACACCTTCTTTGTAGCTTTTTAAGTAATGCAGTAAAGAGATTGCCTGACGTTGAACTTTATGTTAATTCTGACTCCCCCAAAGAAGAAAATGCTGTATTTTCACATTATTGGGACCTCATTTTTGGTTGGAGCACCCCTCCTTGAGATTGTCCACCCATACCATCCACCCCACCCTGACGGAGGCCCAGAAATCAACGAGAATTTGGCCCTTCTTGGTGGTAGCTGTTACCCTGTCAGCAGAGGTGTGCCAAGCCCCTTCCCACCTAGCTTTTGGGGGAAAAACTGTGAAAACGCTACTTTTCAGAGCAGCTTTTCAAGAATCCTCCCCACATGATAACTTATTATCATGTGAGAAGGATGTTTTCTAACGTTTAATTTTCTGTCTGCTGCGACCACTGGGGGCTTTTTCTTTTTGAGTGTTTTCTCTCTTTAATGGGAGGTCTGGCTGAGGAACAGTTGGTGCTTTTATGCTTATGTTTTATATAAGCCACCCAGAGTAGTGACTAGATGGGCAGGATAAAAGACAAACAAACAAACAAAGTAAGTAAAAGAGTAACACATTATACCCATGAAGGCATCCCAATCAGAATAGATAACAGGATCCCCAGTTAGAATTTTAAAATGTTGAATCTGAAGTAATGGCAAACAGTCTTAAACAGCATCAGCAAGCAATCCTTTGAACTTTTAATGCCCCTTTGGAACAACCCCCCCCCCCAGTTTTCCATGTGTTGCCCCTGCACCTTATTAGGCACAAGGGGTTAAATAATGCAGCTCCTGCCTGCCTCGGTAAACTCAGGCCAGAGAACTCTCGTCTGTAATGACAGGAAATGCAGTGTGTGCCATAGGCGACCAAGATCTGTTTGCCCTTCTGCTGCCTGTTGGTGGACTCGTGTGTGTGTGTGTGTGTGTGTGTGCGTGCGTGCTCGCTTTTCAGCCCGTTTTACTAAATGGTGCTGTGGAGATTGTGGGGGGGGGCGCGAAGGGGCGTCACCATCTGTTCTTAATTCCCTGGTCATTGGATTAGTAGCCCTCGGTGTGATGAGATCAGCAGGATCAGTTTTCAGGATGGGGCACTGGCCTGGCTTCAGCTGCAGAC